GCCTTAGAGAGCAAGGACTGGGGATTGGGGCAGAAGGGCTGTGAGCCCTGGAGCTGTAGTCCCAGCACCCAAGTCAGGGAGGGTACCTAGCTAGGGAAAGGTGTCTGACTGGATACGACAGTGCCAACCACTGTCAGCTACAGTGCAGACCTGGGCTCCTGAGTGAAAGGAGGTCCCAACACGACTTGTCTGGTAACAGTCACTCCAGCTTAATGGCTGCTCACTTGGTAAAGTGAGAAGCTCTTAACATGTAGGCAGAGGCTGGGCAGTGGCACACACCAGCCATCCTAGCACTCCGAGAGGATCACAAGTTATCGAGTGTCCTAGTTTGTTCTTCATTGCTGTGACAAAATACTCTGACCAGTATCAACTTGGGGAGGAAAGGGTTTATTTGTCTTACATCTCCCAGGTCACAGTTCATCAGGGAGCCCGAGGTAGGAACTCAGGGAAGGAACCTGGAGGCAGGAGCTGGAGCACAGGCCACATCCTAGCACTCCGAGAGGATCACAAGTTATCGAGTGTCCTAGTTTGTTCTTCATTGCTGTGACAAAATACTCTGACCAGTATCAACTTGGGGAGGAAAGGGTTTATTTGTCTTACATCTCCCAGGTCACAGTTCATCAGGGAGCCCGAGGTAGGAACTCAGGGAAGGAACCTGGAGGCAGGAGCTGGAGCACAGGCCATGGAGGAAATGCCCAGGGGTGGCACCACCCACAGTGGGCTGGGCCCTCCCACATCACTCATCAAGAAGATGCCCTTCAGACTTGGCCACAGGCCAGTCCAATAGAGGCAATTCCCCGATTGAGGCTCCCTCAACCCAGGTGTGTCAAGTTGACACTAAAGCTATCCAGCACATTGAGTTATCTTTTACCTAGAAAGAAAAGATGGGGGTTGTGGAGTTAGCTCAGTGGTAAAGTGTTTGCAGCCCAAGCACAAGGACCTGAGTTCAGATCCCCAGACTTGAAAACTGGGTGCAGCAGCACATGTCTGTAACCCCATTGCTGGGGAGCAGAGGCAGGTGGATCTTGAGGGCTCTCTGGCCAGCCAGTCTAGCAGTTCAGTGAGAGACCCTGCCTCCGAAAGCATGCGCATGCTACACACACACACACACACACACACACACACACGCACTCCCTCTCCCACGCTGGCCATGGCTTCTTGCTGTTTCTGATCCTCATTCCTGAAGTGTTTTCTTAGGGGTGCTGCTGCCACAGTCCCCATCCCCAGATATAGTTGTATACCATGTGCAGTGAGCACCTGCCAGGTCCCCTTCTCCCTGGAAGAAGCTCTGTCACCTTCAGGGGCACCTGAAGATCATGTCACCCAGGCTACCTAGTTTCATTCTGTTGCTATGATAAACACCTTATGAAAATAGCTTAGGGGAGAGAGGTTTATGTGACTCACAGCTCCAGGTCACAGTCCATCACTGTGGGGCAGTTGAGGCAGGATCTCAGGCAACTGGTCACATCACAGGAGCAGAGCCTCCTTGCTCACTGCTTCTTTTCACTCGGTTTCTCCTCTTTCTTCAGCCTAGAACACAGCCCATGCTATCCTCTGGTGGCTCTGCATCCTTTGTTACTGTGATACTGTAACCAGCCGCCTCTAGACAGGTGTGCAGGGTCAGTCCCACTTTCTGCATAGCAGGTACACCGTTGTGTGGATATATTATCAGGGACAGGTTTAGATCCTCCCAGAATTGAACTCACGTTTTAAAACCAGTCTGGTGGGACTCTGACCTTGTGTTTATAGTTGAGAGAGCCCAGGAAAGGAACCTGAGCGCTTTCTTCAGAAATTTCTGTGCATAAAGTTAGACTGAGACAGGACTGTGCTTGAAGATTTAGGTTGCCATGGCTACTGAGGGACACAGCCGGCTGTATGCTCCCATAAGATCTCCTTAGACCTTCAGCCACCACATCTTGGTGTCAGGACATGGCATTGAGATGTTTTCTAGTAAGGGGTTGAGGAGACACCAGCCACCTATCCCAGTTGTCAGCCCTGTCGACAGCAGCGAGTATCTGTGGGGTGTCCCTGGCTCTGTTCCCATCACTGCTCAGTGGGGGCTGGGTTCTCTCTCTCTCTCTCTCTCTCTCTCTCTCCCTCTCCCTCTCCCTCCCTCTCCCTCTCCCTCTCCCTCTCTCTCCCTCTTTCTCTCTCTCATCTCAACTAATTTTTAAATTACATTAATTTCTTTGTGTGTATGTCCCCATGGAGGGCTTGTGTGACATCAGAGCACAGTTTGCCGGAGTCCATTCTCTCTTTCCACTATGTGGGTCCCAGAAATCAAACTGAGGTCATCAGGCTGGCAGCTGAGCCACGTCACCAGCACTCACTGAACATTTACTCTCTGTGCTAGGCACTTTGGGGCTTGGAGCTTCATGGCGCATGAGACACAGGCTATGTCCTCCCTGGTATGGGTTGGAGAAGGACAGCTACATCATATGGATGAGAAAGATGCTCAGCAATTCTGATACTGTTCTGTTCACGAAGACAGCAGAACAGAGCAGGGGGGACACACGACTGGAAGTGCGTCTCAGAGGCCTCAGCTCCGGTGGAGAGCTAAAGGGCTCCCTTGGGTGGGGATGGGGAGCAACACTGTGCATCAAGGGAACAACACATGCAAAGGTCCTCTGGTGGAAACAGTTCAAAGAGCTGAGGCCTAGTGGGACTATGCAACTAGCCAGGGAGGGAAGAAGCAGCTGGGGCCCTTTGGGGAGAGCACAGAGTGATGGACAGGTGAGGGGCCTCGACAGAGGCCGTTGTGATGGGGCGCAGGAGTATAAAGCCCATGGGTTGAGTGAGGAGGCCAGAAGCCTGAGAATGGGTCTGGTGCTTACATGGGTGGGAAGTAGTGGGTAGTGGCTGGTTCAAGCCAAAGTGGGAGTGGGGAGGGCTAAGGGAGAAAGGAGCTATGGAGGGTCCCTCACTTCTGCCCAGATGGAGATAGTGGCGTCTGCCATGGCAGCAGAAGAGTGAGTAAGAGGGCACGGAGCTGGGCCAGAGCGCCCTGTGTGGCATCCATGGGAGAGGTGCCACTGGAGAGGTAGAAGACTCACACGGGTGTTGGACTAGGAGGCTGAGGGAAGGGAAAGTTGGGGGCTCCAGGGACAGAGGGACAGTCTGCTGGGGTGACATCCTATAGCTGGTAAAAGGTGGGTTTGAAGTATAACAGTGGGAGCTGAGGCCTTTTGTCCCCTCAAAGGTCAGGGAGGTGGGTATACTCCATAGCAGGGCACAATACACAGGCTGAAGGTCACCTGCAGTGTGTGGCAGATTAATGGATAGAGTGTTTTCTAGCTTTGGAGGCAGGCAGGGCCTGGGTTCAGGTCCAGCTGTGTGATGGATGGCAGGTCAGGAGGTATCATGTTCACTGAGAGCTTGCTGTGGGCTGAGCATTCCCAGGCCTCACTAGAACTGTACAAAGCAATGGCTGTTACTGCACCCATAGTCGGATGAGGAGACTGGAGCTCGCCCGACCTAAGTCTTCACCGGCACTTGCCCATGAAACTGTCCCTTTATCAATGTTTGAATTACAAAGACCCGGTGATGCTCAGCTAAATAGTAATTTACATGGTGTGGTTGGGGGACTAATGTGGTGTCCAGTAAATATGGCCCATGAACTAAGACAAGTTTCACATTTTTAAAAGGTTGTGAAAAAGCTGCATATGACTTGCAAAACCAAAAATAATCACCATCTGGCACTTTCCAGAAAGATCTCCAAGTCCTGCATTGGTGGATCAGCCTAGACTCATCTCACCCCAGCATCTTGTCCCCTCATGGCCCCCAAATGGCTGCTGTGGTTCCAGCCATCAGAAGGAAACTAGGTGGTACCTAGAGAGCCGAGTCAGTAGACAAGAAGAGGGGTGCACTGGGAGGGGCACTGGTCCCCTTAACCTGCCCAGCAGATGTCTGAGGTATCACCGGACAAGATCTGGGAGGCAGAGGGCTATGGCAGGTGACCCTCACAAAATGATGAGGAGGAAGCTTGGGGGCTGAGGACAGGCACTTGACTGAGTGCAGAGGGCAGCAGGACCGGGTTTCTGGAGATCTCAGTCAGGAGTCTTAAGGGATAGGTAGTGGGCCAGGGCAGGGGAAGGGTTGCAGAGAGACTAGTCCCTCTCCTTCCCTCCTTCACCCCAGCGCTCATTTACACATTTAGTCAGCCTTCAGCAGCCAGTATGCCTCACCTGGAATGAGAGGCTCACCACTGACCTTTACCCTCAGGAGCCCCTTCAGCAAGGAAGGGTGGGTGAAGCATGAGGGCAGGTGCTCCGATGAGTGGGGTCTGGGATCCTCTGAGAACGTGACATTTGAGTCCAGCCTATGGGGAGCTACAGCAGTGTGGGTTGCCCAGGAGTCACAGCACTGGGAGAAGTGATGGCTCACCTTGCCCTGGGGTGTGGGGACTTAGGAAAGGCTTGTATTCAGGCTGCCCAGACTCTGCTGGAATCTTCTGGAATGTGCCTTGTTTCTGAAAGGTGAGCTGCTGCAGATGGACAGGGGAGGAAACTTGGTCCTGACACCAGGGTTGTGAGGCTGCCCCTCCCTGCCCTCCTTGCCTGGCTCAGCAAGGCTCCTAGAACAGCATGGGTGGGTGGCTCAGAGGAGCTGAGCTCTGGAGCAGAGTAGCAGGGCGTGGGAGAGCAGGCCTGCATCCTGTGGTGGGTCTGTTAGGAGGAGATATAGCTTTGAGACAGGAGGAGGGGTAGGGGCAGGTCCGGGGGAATAGACAAGTGATGGGGGCTGGACATGGGCCATCAGAGCTGTCGTCATCCCTTGCCCACTGAGCTGTGGCCACTAAGAGGGTTAACAGAGCAGTCCTCATGTTGGACTGGCCACCAAATGGGGTAACCTCCAGACCCTGCTCTGCCTCAGTTTCTCCATCTCTATTAATGCAAACACACATTTTCATCTCATAAGGTGAGGTCATTTTATTCCCTCTATAAATACAAGCAAGCCAAGAAGGCGAGGTATAGCATAGACCCAGAGAGGCCCTGCCCCACACTGTGCTTTGAGGGCGGCAGGGCAGGGCTGAGCCTGGACACTGTACTGGCCCCAGAAGTAGTCATTGATGCTGGGGTGGGCATGGGCCTGGAGTCCAGGGTGCTGGGGTGGGTGGGCGTGCCCTGGGATCCAGGCATTTCTCTTTGCCTCTTTCCATTACCACAGGAGGGGCCTTGGACCTTGGCCACCCACTGGGAGCTGGCACTGCTCCCCCAGTGTACCCACCCACTTCCACCCTGGACAGGTGCTGTGATTTCCCATAGGCCAGGCAGGAAGCCAGGAAGCATCTATGGTCATGCAAAACTGGGACCTGAATCTTCTGGGCCCATCCAGGTGAGCTGTGGCTGGGCTCAGCAGCTGGGTCTCCACCTCTTTCCAAGCCTCCGTGCACAGCCCCCTTGAGGAGTCAAGGCCTCAGGGAGCTAACACAGGGAGCACAAAATCCTGGAGCTGTGGCCTTCTGCTCAGCTGGGGCAGGATGGCACATGGTACCTTCCGCAGCAATCAGACCCAAGTTCTAGGGCGCTGTGGAAGCTGCTGATTAATGTGGAGCAGACAGACAGAACCCAAAGCCTCCAGGGAGCTCCCTGTATCTCAAGATCAGGCTTGGCCAGGTTTCAGGGCCACTTGGAGGCTAATCAGGAGCGGTAAAGGAGGAGAAGGGCCTGGGTGGAGCCCTTTCCTTCCACCCTCAGCCTCTTGATGAATGGGTGCAGGCTGGGGTGCTCCTGCTTGGGGGACCCACTGGCTAGGACTGTAGACAGGGGAGTGGGGACAGAAACGTCACTGCAGTGGGGTGCAGACCTCATTCTGGCTGGGAGACTTCCAGAGAAGAGGGATCTCATAGTTCAGGAGGCCACTGCATCCCAGAGTCTGCTGAGCCCTCCTGGCTGCTGAGATGTAATAGGGGCTGAGGCTGATGGCTGAAGGGCAAGAGGGGGCATTATGACCACATGGAGGAAGAAGGGGGGCCCTCTTCCCCCAGCCCTGAGGCACTGTGGGTTACATAACCCTTTCACATCTCTCTCTAACCCTTTATCACCCTCAAGGGGACCTTTACGATCTTGGGGTGCTGCTTAGCCAAGCCCAGTACACTCAAAGTTCAGAAATAAATCTCTCGTCCCTCCCTGTTCCTGTTTGTTGTTCTTTGGAAGCCTTACTTCTTCATTGATCCCAAACCTTGGAATCCAGTTGTGAATGGAAAAGCGTGCAGCTTTCCCAGAACAGGCATGGCTCAGAATCTTGGGATGTGGGTGCCAGGTGGGTGGACTATGTAGAGCCCATCACAGCAGTGTTGGACCCCAGCTCTCAGGCCAGGGACTGCAAGAACAGGTTGGCCATACCGGGCACTCCGCAATGCAGAAAACACTAAAAGCACTACTTTCCACCCAAGCACAGGGGGGCATCTGGGTTTCTGTTTCTAGGAACATTGCCTTTCTGGGTGATTTTTTTTCCCCTCCTCATCCAGGTTAATTAGCGGCATGCCAGGTCCCTGCACTGATGTGGAGAAGGATGTGATAAGCGAACGTAAAGAAGTGTCCACAGGCTTGGTTTATAAATAACCTGGGACAGACTCAGAAGATCCAGGCCAAGGCATTGCTATTCCCCCCCTTTTCGGAATTCTTTTCCCTGTTACCTTGGGAACCAGCCTAGGGATGCTGGGAGTTCTGTGAGTTGATCTAAGCCTCAGTCATTCCTGCTTCACACAGTGGGCGTGGGGAACAACTGCCAAGGATGCCCAACACAGTCATACTGTCTCTGGGTCCAGCAGGTGATGGGTAAACTGAGTCATTGCCCAGGACACTCATTGGTTTGATGCAGGGAATCGAGGGAGGACTTCTTGAAGGTGGGGACATCTGGACAACACATACTGGTCCTGGAACAAGAGCCAAAGGGACAGAAGGGTATGCCAGCTGGAGGGAACAGCGCAGCAGGCACGCGGAAGAGAGGGCATGGGTGATGTGGCGTGTTCAAAGATGGATGTCTGTCCAGTCTAGGTCAGTAGCAACTGCTCCAAGAAACCAGATGCAACTGTATGGATTTCCTGCAGGGGTAGGGGTAGGATATCCGTACCCAGGGGCCTGAGTCCATGGCAGCTCTCCTGCCAGCCATCTGTGATCCCAAGAGGGGTTTGAGCAATGAGATGATGGTTTAGGCTAGAACGGAGACAATCCCTTGGCCCCTCACCCTGAGCCAGTCACATGATCTTGATCTTGGTTTATTTAACCGCTTTTGAAATAATGCCCCACCCCCACCCCAAGTCTCATGTAGCCTAGGCTGGCCTCAAACTCCCTATATAGCCAAGGATTACCTTTAAGTCTCAATCCTCCTGCCTCTGCCTCCCAAGTTCTGAGATTACAGGCTTTTCCTCCTTTCCTGGATTGTGTGATGCTGAGGATGGGACCCAGGGCCAACTTCGTGTGTGTGAGGCTAAGGCTCTACACACTCAGCCCTCCACAGCATCTCTCAAGGAAACTGACTGCAGTGTGAATGGGGCTAGCCTTGGAGGAGACCTCAAGCCTCGGGTAAGGCCTAGGGCTACTTGCACTTATCCCAGGGTGAGGAGAGTGGGTTTCCACCAGCCTCACGAACCAACTCTTCCTTGAGTGCCCTGGGGATTCATTTCCTGGCTGTTGGATCAAAGGCAGAATGGGGAGAGAGGAATGAGGAGTGAGCTCTGTGGGCTGCCCTTGGCATCCGGGAAGCAAGGAGTAGTCAGCAGCCTCATGAAGAGGACTTGGGCAGATCTGTCCCTTTTTGTGGGAACTTTCAGAGTCTGTGACATCTGGTGTTCATCTTGGAGTGGAGTGAGAGAGAGAGGCGGCAAAGACATTGGAGTCAGACAGGCCTGGGTTCAAGGTCCAAATCACACTCACCTACTCAGAGACTGAACAGGTCCTGACAGCTTTTCCTACCTCACTATCCTGATCTAAAGAATGTGACTAGCTGTGGATGGGTTTCACCCTCTGGAGTGCTCTGAGGGTTAAGTGAGGTAAGAGGTGTGGATGGCTGGCTCTTTGAGTAATGATGTTATTATGGCACCATCTTCTTATTAGCAGCATAATAGTCCACTTCTTGGCATGGGCAGCACAGCCCTGGGATGCCTACACGTTCAGAATGAGGAATGTGAATAGGGTCAGGTAAGAGACCTGGGAAGATTGGAAATAGCTGCAGGCTGTCTTGGGAGTAAGGGTGGTCTATAATAAATAAAGAAGATTAGCCAGGCATGGTGGTGCACGCCTTTAATCCCAGCACTCGGGAGGCAAAGGCAGACTGATCAGATCGTTGTGAGTTCAAGGCCAGCCTGGTCTACATAGTGAGTTCAGGTCAGCTGAGACTACAGGGAGACCCTGTCTCAAAAAAACAAAAAGAAAAAGAAAAACAAAACAAAACAAAAAAGAAGATGGCCTTAACTCTAGGAAAGGAAAACATATGTACAACCTCCCAGAATATAGACTACATGTGGCCACACCTCCTGGCCATTGCACTTGTGTGCCTGTCTTTCTGTATTTGAAATGCATCTGTTCAACTCTGAACCCTCCCAGACAGCCCAGCTCCCTGCCCGGTCCCTGGTAAGTAATCGTCTTCCTCTTTCCTGGGCCATGTATTTTCTCTGCTGCCTCACCATCTCTTCTGTCTCAAAGGGAGTCATTCACCTGTGCCTCAGCCCCCGACTTATATATAAGAGCCCCTGGCTCTTAGGTCACAGGCATTTGTCCTTTCTTTCTGGCTTTCTCTTCTACCAGACCAGGAATTCTATTTTATTTTATATGTAAGTGTTTTGCCTGCATGTATGTAAGTGCACCCGTGTTGTGCAGTGCCCACAGACATCCAAAGAGGGTGTCCGGAGTTATGAATGGTTATTAGCTGCCATGTGGGTCCTGAGAACCGAACCCAGGTCCTCTGCAAGAACAGCCAGTGCTCTTAACTGCTGAGCTATCTATCCTGCCCCAAGATCAGGAATTCTATAAGGTATATATTTGTACAGATTTGGGAGGAGTTGTGCAGGTTTTGGCTGGTCTGTGGGCCCTCTCTCCTTTTATGCCTTGGATTCAGAGAGGCAGACTGAAGTCTGTAGGGATGGACCACAGCTCTACTCAGGGTCAGCACAGAACTTGCACAGAATGACTGTTTAGGGAGTGTTTGTCAAATGAATGAATCAATGATTGACACAGTCTTACCTTCCTGAGAGCCCTGTGCTCTCTGCCCCACTTGGCACCTTGGCTTGCCTTTCCTGGTCTCGCAGATTCCCTCTTACAGATTCATTTATGTAAGGAAGATCTCTGACTTGCTTTCTGGTTGCCCAAGGTGTCCCCAGAGTTTCCTGGAGAGAATGGTGTTTGCAGAAACAGCCCTGGGGCGACACCTGCGCTGCCCCAGATTCAGGGAGCAATGCTTTTTATAGCCCTACTCCCAGAGCGAGCTGGCCAACTTCACCCCTTACAGCTGGGTGGCCTTGGGCTGGTCACTCCACTCCTCCCTGTGCTGCTTTGTCCATCTGTAAAATGGGAGTGTTAACTATAGGACAGACCTGATTGTACTGTTGGGAAGATGAGATGACATCATGGTGATGGTACTATATGATGGTGCAATGAAATGGTATAAGGCAGAGACACAACACTGTGACGAGTCACATGGTAATGTTACCGTGATGTCATTAACAGGCAGTCTGGTGATGTGATCCAGGTGTGTAAGATGGAATGCTTGACATGATCTGGTCATGTAAAATGGAATCCTCTCATGCCTTGCAGTGGTCAGGGCTCTGGACAGTGGTGCTATATGCTCTAGCAAGGTGTCCGTATGCAGAGACAGGAGGGGAGTTCTGGTGAAGTGTGGAGGAGGCACCCGTGTCCACTGGGATTTGCCCCAGCCTGGCTCATAGGCAGCTTAGACTGAGACTCACACACAGGCTGGTCTGCTGGAGATAGGAGGCCTGAGTTTATGTTCTTCCCTGGTTCATCTTGGGATAGCTCTGAGCCAGATGATGCTCCAGAAACAGGCACAGAAGACTTGGGCAGAAGGCCCAGCTAGTGTACCTTCTGGAAAAGAGGATGGGATGAAAGACTCCCAGGAAGGCAGGGCAGGATGGCAGACTCTTGACTCTTGGGATGCAGAGCAAGATGGCACACTCTTTCCCCTCTGGTCTGAGCAGCTCTCTTCTTACCACTTGTTCTACTCAGATTCTGTCTTGGTGACAGATTTGTTTGCAGCATCTGCAACCTTCCATCCTTCCCAGCTGTGCTGTCCAGTCACAAACCGTGGTGTCGGCACCCTGACCTTCTATTCTGAGACATTTCAGGATGTAGACGATGAAAGTTAGCTCAGCAGCTGGGTCCCCGAAGCACTAGCATTCCACTCTGTCTGCTTTATCAAAACCTCAGTCTGTCGGTGGTGCTTCTTAGCCAGGTGTGGTGGCGCACACCTTTAATCCCAGCACTTGGGAGGCAGAGGCAGGAGGATCTTTGTGAGTTCAAGGCCAGCCTGGTCTACATAGTGAGTTCCAGGACAGCTGGGGCTACAGGGAGACCCTGTCTCAAAAAGACAAACAAAATAAAACAAAACAAAAAAACCACCTTTCAAAGTGGATCATTCGTATCAGCACACACCTGGTCCTGAGTCTCAGCATCTGTCAGAACCTTTGGGTTGGCATTTTGTCTGAGTGTTTGGCTTGCCCTAAGAAGGCCTGTGGGTGCTTTGTCCAGCCCTGAACCATGGGACAAGCTGTGATGGTTTAGATAACATCCTACACCCTGCTCAGCTCCACACTTCACCTTCCTTCCTCTTGAGGCTCCCCACCTCTCTGTCAGATGGCCAGGTACAACCTGAGCCCCCTTCTAGTTCTCTAGTGATGTCTGGGGTGGCTTTCCTGGGGTTAGTTCCACCTACACCCTGCAAGGCCCTGGCCACCCTGGGGAGGGACTCAGGTGAAGCCTGAGGCAGGAGCTTTCTGAGAATGCCCTGGGGGGAGGGGTGGAGATGGGCAGATGTTGAGGCCAGAGCCCTAACTGCAGCCACCAGGACTGGGGGTGAATCCAGGCACAGATTGAGGGTGGGGACTGGCCTGGCCTGGGTGTGTTTTCTCATTTGCATGCTAGGGTGCTATCTGACATGCCAGGAACACAGACTGATGTGCCTGTAAGCCAGCGCCTCTGCACCCCCAGGTTCCTGCCAGCTAGGTCCTGTTCTGCCTCAGGACCTTGGCACAGCCTGTGATCTGCCTAGGCCAGGGAACTTGGGGGCTCTTTGGCTCTGGCTCTGCTTAGTTTCCACCAGTCTCTGGTCAGGATGCTGACCAGGCCTGTCCTTTGAGGGTCTGACTGGGGATGGGGTGCCTTTGTCACATGGCTGTCCTGTGGTGCAGGCTGTCATCTGGAACCCTGTGTCTCTCCCTCTTGGCCCTTCTTTGGGGCTCCCTGAGCATTCCACAGGGCTGCCATCAGGGAGAATAGTCCTTACTGTGTTGAGCACAGGAAGGGATGCAGAGTCACTGTGGGAGGGACCACCTGGTGTAAGAAGAGGAGGATGGTATCTCTGGGGGTCTCTGTGCCTCATTTGCCTCATCTAGCAAATGGGATCCTGTGAACATTTGTCAGAGGACTTTTGTGCAAACTTAGGAGGCCTGGTATCAGTCAGTCAGTAGCCACGCCATGGAGTGAGACCCTCCACAGCTCATCACCACTTTCATCTCTGATTCTGCCTGGGCCAGAGGAGGTGCTCTCACTATTGAATGAAGAGAGACGCTGGACTTCAGGGGCTAGGAATGCCCAGCAGAAGGTGGCAGAAAAGAAGATGGAGCAGGAAGTGAGGAAGAGGAGGGAAAGAAGAAGCTAGAGGAGGAGGGGGAGGGAGAGGAGGCCCCGCCCTCACTGTCTGAGGGACCTCCTCTGAGATGAGATAAACTTCCCCCAGCAAAGCTATTGGATCGGTGTCTAGAGAGCAAATATTTGTTTAGAGCCATGGAAGGGGGTGGTACAGAGATCACACAGGCAGTTGGGGCAATCTGATCTGGATTTCAGCCTTAGACTGGGAGTGGCTTTTAAACAGTATTTTCTGAGTCCTCACCTTAGGCAACAGTTGGGGGAGGGAGGCTTTCCCAAGCAAACCTTGATGGGCTCCTTGCTGTGTGACCTTGGGCTAGCTGGGGCATAGATCCCAGCTAGAAGAAGGAAATTCCATCAACAGGTGAGTCTTTTCAACCCAGAATCTTAACTGACCTGTCTCTTCCTCTCCAGCCCTTCCCCTCCACTGTTTATCACCCTCCCCCCAACACACACACACACATTCCAGCCCTTAAGGGTTAAACCCAGGGAGCTCATGTGATCCTCTGTACACGTGAATCATCCCCATGGCTCCCTTTGCCCAGCCAGGGGATGGGGCAGATGCTGTGCCCCAGGTTGCCATAGCAACTCTGCCTGTACCAAAATGCAACCACCCCAGCCCCAGATCCATCCTTGTGGGGAGCTCTGGGCTGTCACCTAGATCCTTGCTGCCCTCCGGGACGGTGACAGAGACAGCTGGGAGAACAGGAGACAGGAGAGAGAGAGAGGGAGGAGAGAGAGACACCAGGAGTCCAGCAGTACCTAGCGAGCCAGACAGCCACCACCCGGAGAGTGAGTGGAGGGAAGCCAGGAGCTCCAGAGACACACTGACAGCCAGCCACAGGTCCCCAGAATCATCCTGGAGCCCAGAGGCACAAGCAGGTTCCCAGCATCCCCCCATCTCCCCAGGCATCCACATCTCCCACGCACGTGCCCCCACTTGCGCACACACTTGCATGCACACACACGCACCCTGGGCGGCCACATTTCTGCACAGTGAGGACCTGGGGTGGGTAGGCTGTCTGACACGTGAAGTCCCCTAGGGACAGGGAGTGAGTTGAGACTTAGGGGGAAAAAAACCGACTGGGACTGACGCCAGCTCCCTGGGCGGCCACCTCCCGTGGCCCCTCCTGCATTCCTGGGCTGTGTGCCCCTCACCAAGATGGGCTGATGTCATCCTAGGCAGCTGGGCCGGGGACCCAGGCTGGGTGGCTGCCCGCCCTCCGGAAGTGAATGCGCTGCCTGCTGGCCAGCAGCTTCAGGTTCAGCTTGGAGTCCCCAGCCAGGGACCAGAGAGGTGCCTGGCTCAGGTGAGCAGAGGGAGACAGCAGAGAACTGTGCACATTGGAGATCTACCTGCGTAGAAGAAAGTGATTTCAGGGGTTCAGGGTGCCTAGCCCCCCGCCCCCCCGAGCTCTGGGGTCTGTCAGAATGAGCAGTCTCTAGTTCCTGATCACATCTGCTTCTGGGATCCAGCAGGACTGGCTGGGATTAGAACTGGACGTCCCGGTTGGTTGACTCCGGCTCCTGCTGTGGCTCCCAGCTGACCCTTCCCTGTCTGCATCGTGACCCTCGGATGCTGCCCCTTCGGCAATGTTTACCTTACTTAGGCTGAAGAGTTTTCCATCGGAGCCCAGAACTTCTCTCCACCGACAGCCACGGACCTAGGGACCAGGACCACAGCACCGAGGGCTGCCTGACTGCCTCTGCCTGCCGTCCTCCTCCAGGCTGACTTCATGGATTACCTGGGTGACAAGCTGTCGGTGGCCCAAACCCACATGACTCAGTGGGTGGGCACAGTGAGGCGGTCCCTCCAGGAGGCCCTGCACCTAGTGACGGCCACGGTGGGCGCCGAGCGGAGTGGGGAGCCCAGCCGCACCCCATTTAAGCGCACGTCTTCCTTCCGACACCTGGCTTCTCGGAGCCGGGAGTCCTTCCGTCGCTTTTCTACCCGCAGCCAGCAGAGGTTCTCATCTCTCAGGAAGAGGCAGCCTGGCTCTGAGGCCCCAGATCTTGTAAGCTTGGCATGTGTTTCAGAGTAATTTGGGGGCTCCTGGGGAGGGGATCCCCAGCGGCAGCCTGGGAAATGACTTCTTCCCTAACAGTGAGCAGCTCCTCTGGATTCTGGGAAGAGGAAGTGGCTGGGCTGGCTTCCCTGGAGGTGCAACCCCTCCCTCCCTGAAACCTGTCAGGGAATGTACTTGGGGTTCAGTATCTGGTGTCTGTGTGGACGGGCCATTGTGTGAGGGGGACTGCTTAGGGAAACTCCAGCCTACATCACACATGTTCCAGTCTCTATTTTTAAAAAGCTTGCTTGGCACCTGCCTCATCTCACTCTCCCAGAAAGACCAAGTGGCCTTGATACATGCAGGCTGAGTGCTGGCCTTTCCCATCGAGCAGAAGTGTGAGGTTTTCTGTGATAACAGAAGGGGAGGGGAAGAAGGAGATCCAGGTGGTAGATGGTTTGGCCCCCATGGGGTGGCTCATTTTGGTGGCTCCACAGGGTTTGGAGACCAGGGCAGTAATAAATAGCCAGTCATTAGAAAGCTGGACAGGTGGCATCAGGCCAGTCCAGAGAGGCATAGTGTCTGCCTCCGAAACACAGCAAGGAGGCGGAGTCTCTGTCTCTGATCTCCACATTCAGAGCACTATCCTGCCTGATCTGGGCAGATGTTTTCTCAGACCTTTGATAACCCTGGGGACACTCACGTCATCAACCAGAACCTAGCTTAGCGACAGGACCTGCTGTCTTCAGATACCTGGCCTCTGCCCCTGGCTAAGTTGGCCCAGTTCTCAGGAGCGTCCGAGGACAGGCACTGAGCCCAGCCAGCTCCTGCCTGGCCTTGTGACTAGAGCCAGTAGTCACTCTGGGATCAGTGTTGAGGGGGCTGGACTGATGGTTTTACACTGGGAGATCTCCCAACATTCACAGCTGCCCCTCAGATGCAGGGACTCAACACTCCTCTGTAGACCAGAGAGGCCTAGGACTCTACTCTGAGTCACACAGCAACTAGAGCAGGCAGGTGCTCACCAGAGCCAGGAGCAACAGTGGTGTGAGGTGTGTGTTGGTAACGGACATTTGGCACAGGGGCTGCACTCCTTTGCAGCTTGAATTCATGAGATAGCCCATACAGTTCCTTGAAGGCGGAGATTGCTGTTTCCATCTGTCTTCGCCTCTCTCTGCCCAGTTCCTCTGTCCCTTGTCCTGACTCCAGAGATGCTGTGTGAAGGGCTGGGGTTAGATGGCACCAGGCTCTGTTCCCTGCCCCCTGCACTCACTTTCCCATTGCTGTGTGACTTTGGCTGTCCTGAGTCTCTGAATCTCTTTGCTGGTGGAATGTGCTGGTATAGCCACAGGCCTCACCTCCCCAGTGACCAAATGAATGAGTGATGGTATGTAGGCCGCTCACTGTTAGGGCTGTGACATGAGCTGAATTAGGGTGGGCTTCCGGTTCCTTCCCACATATGCCTGCCTCTGCTGAGTGGTGGGCACAACTGGCTGTGGTGTTTGCCAGGACCCAAGCTTGCCACATCCCAGTTTGACTCGTACTTAAGCCTCAGTTTCCTTCTCTGTTGAGTAAGGGGACCATGAACTTGTTCTAAGCAGGGGTGAGCTGTCAGCACCCTGCTGGCTGGCAGTA